CTTGAGGTATGGATTTATTCAACTTTTAGTATGATTCTTAGCTTAGTTATTTGGTCTTTAAAAAGGTTAGTGATTTGGGAATTTTGATGAAATCTAGGGTTTGATTTTGAAATGTAAAAAATGGGTTTTCGAATAAATTCTTGAGAAATGTTGTAGAATATTGTTGGGTTGTATGGGAAATTCTTTCTTTAAATGTGATTTTGAAAATAAAGAAGGTTTTGTTTGAAAAATAATTGATGTTTGATTTATGAAAAAATGGGAAAGGATGTTGGGTCTTGAAAAGATATAAAAAATGTATCTATTGATGATGAGTGTGGAACTGAGTATATTACTGCTCCTATTATAAAATTTATGAGAATTTATCTGCTGTTAAAAAATTATCTGTCAAATAAAAAAATCTATTTAAGGCTATCGGTGGAGAATAGCTTTGATTGTTGTAGAAATTGCATGAGGATTAAATTAAATTACAATTAAATACTCATACATCTTGCATCGAACATTGTTTCATACTTGAACATTAAAAATGTATTATTTTTTTAGAAAAGAGGTATATACCTTGGTAAATCTAGTTAGAAGATTTGGCTGTGGTTTATATTGTTGGTCGATGTGTCCTTGGTGAAAGTTCAGAAACTCACGTAGTCAGATGCCAATCCTTCCAATTAGTACTGGTAAAATGGCTTAAGTAGTGCTTGTATAGCCTACTAGCAGACACGTACCTAGAGATTCCTAGTGTTTTGTATCCATTGCCCTATTTTCTAATATAAAAGTGTACTTTCATGAATTGAAATATAATAATGATGGCATTGCATTGTTTTGAGATAGAAAAATATAATGTTTGGCAAATGACATGTATATACATTCACTTTATGACTTCGTTAAGTTTCATACATAGTGTTAATGTATTCCTATTGGACATTAGCTCATCCTACGTGGAAAACAACTTTCAGGTGCTAATGATATGCGTCCACCAAGGACATAGATTGGGAGGACGTGGAGCCGAGAGCTTCTTTTGTTTCTTTTGTGTACTTGTTTTTGTATAAGCCTTAGGCTTTATATGTATTGAGTTTAACTCGCTTTTGTTGTACCCAAGAATTGGCTTGGAAAAATATAGCCATTAAGGCATAGATATATCTATACGTCCTTGTTTTTCAAATTCATTTACTCAAGTCATATGCTATAGATTCATGATCTAGGATTAATGAATGTATATTTGCATATGTCACCTTTTGTACGAGCAATGAGAAATAATGAAAGGGGTGTAATTGTGTAAGTTATACTATTCTGGAAATATTATGAATGCGGGTTATTGCTTTTATTTTGGGGCATTACCGGCAAGAAGTCGGGGGGTGGAGTGGTAAATATCTTGATATCATGGATGTGTCCTAGTTTTTCGCACGCGGCCTTCTAGCCAGTCTGGAAGAAGATGTCCTTGGTAGTATCAATCTACTTGGCATAGCTTTCATTAGCCTCGTTAAAGCCCTTATCTTCTGCATCTTTCACTGCAGCGTCCTTTTCTTTTTTCAACTTCTCTAGCTCGGCCAACGCAACATCCTCTTTTTCTTGGCATCAGCTACTTGGCTGAGAAGTCGTGTATTGTCAACATAGGCCATTTCCAAGGAAGACTAAGAATGACCTAACTCAGTTTCAAGCTTTTTTATGCGGTCGTTGTTCTCATGCACTTTCGGCCTCAGTTTTACCAAGTACTCCATGGTCACATGGGATTTTTAAACGGTCTGCAATAAAAACAAGAGTTAATAAATGAGGTCAAGCAAAAAGTTAGAAAGTATGATCAATTGAGGCATTACCCTAGTTATAAATTTCACCACAGATTTGATAACCCAGGTGTTAGGGATGTGGCTGCACTTCTACATGTCAACTGGTAGGAGTAAGGCCTTTGAAAGCTTATAGCCAAGCAAGTGTTCCTTATTCTTGGCAATGGAGTTTGCCTCAGTAATAACCTTACCTCGGTGTGTGAGGGTTGGTTTCCAGGCAAGGGCAGGGGCAAATAACCGGCTGCTCGGTGCTCAGCTCAGTCGTAAGATCCACAGACATATTAGATGCACGGGTCCTCTTGCTTGCCCAGCGGGACTCTGTGTTGATTGATTGAACCGTGGTAGAGGCCAGAGCTAGCACGGTTCCTAAATCTTGCTCGCCCATTTGGCCTGGTGAAGTAGTTAAAGTGGTGGTTGTTTCTTGGATGTGGCAAGCATCAAATTCTTAATTTGGTTTCTTTTGGCCATGTCTTCTTTGTTGGTCAGGCGGATCAAGGGTACGTCAGGAAGAGTCGGATTTGATAGAGGAAAAGACACAAACAAGAAGTCTGTTACCTTGCTTTCGGGGGGAGCGAAATAACGATAGTTCAGTTCGTAGCCTAGGAGGTCATGGAAGTCGCGCTACTTATACTTTAGCACGACCCTAATTGCGTTTTCGTTATGTTGTGAATATTGATTCTAGAGTTGGCTCAAATATGCAAAATGAGACAACGGTTAGCTTAGTGAAATGGATGAAAGATTTGGTTTGTTCGATTTTGGAACTGTTCGTCTTACCTACTTTGCCTTTATTGTGGTTAATGTACTAACCCAGTTATATCAGTGATTTCCTAATTGTTGTTTACCAGAGGAAGTCGTCGTTGCGTAGGTTCTTGTCCTATGTTGATTACTAGACATTCACGGCCTCTCTTGATTTTTAAGTACCAATAAAACCCATCGTTTGTGCAGTCGAGCGTATATTAGCCAAATATCTCAGCTAAATCGAGGTTATGATTTAGTCAGTGGTTAAATTCGGCTACTTCGTTCATAATTTGAAAAGTGTTGGTGGATGCTTGTGGGGTGCAGAGCCTGCTCTACATTAGGAATTCACAAATTAGGGGTTACACGAGGAAACGAAGACCCCCCGTCTACAATGTATAGCATGGTGAAGGGGCAGGCTCTAGTTCTACCCTAGTATAGGATTCTCTTTTTATCCAATTTGAAGTGGACGTCATCCGAGATGGCATAGTCTCTTTGAAATTTAGCTATTGCATCTGACATAGATAGTAAGAAGTGATACCAACCCATGGAGCTTGGTTAATTTATTAACTTCGGTGGATATTCATGTGCTGTCAACCCAACTGTGTATGGCTGGCCTAGCTAAGCGATGCTTGCTTATTCTAAAAAAGCCGTTCAATGTGTTGGTGTGCCTCGTCAATCCTAGGATTCTGTATGGTGAAAAATTAAGAGTTATTAGGTGAGCAAGGTTTTAGCTCTGTCGCTTGCTTAAGTGGGGTTTTAACTCGATCATTCAATGGAGCTAGGTTTTAGCTCAGCTTAAAGGTGTTGCTCAGTTCAACATTAATTAAACTCCTTGCAAATAGCAATTTCGTTCGGTTGGGTTATGTGTTCAAATCAAGAGTGAAGTTTTTGCTCGATTTAGCCCAAATTCTTTGGTATTCATCTCAGAAAGTGGACTGTACATTGGAAAATAGTGGATTAAATGTTGTTTAAACATTTAACTTAGTCTCAAATCTCGTTTTACCCAGATTTTGTGACACCCCAAATGTTTAATTAATTTTAACACCAACTTATTTTCTTGCTTTCATTCTGCCTCCGCATCCGTGCCCCCACTTAATTTGTTAAAATTAGAATTAATTAGCAAGTTGTGATTCTAGTCCTAAGCAACCAGGGTTGGATCGTGATAGATTTCATTAGTTATTTGTGCCACAATATTGTTTTTGGAGGGTAATTAACGAGATGGTGGACCCCGAACACTAAGAACACGATGTGTCAACATGAAAAAATAAGAAAGTGGGAAGAACTTACGATTTGAAGTGTTGAACTAAGATTCAATTGGTGAAAGGGCTACCGTGGTAAAGGCGACTTAATTAATGCAAGAAAATGGTTGGATCTTGGTTTGAAAGCTGCAAGGATGGAAATAGGAGCTCTAGTTTTTAGGGTTTCTGAGGAAGAAGAAGTGTGAAGGATGGGTCTATATGTCACAACCCAGAAACCCGCCCCTAAAGGTTTGGGCATGACCTAAGCAAAAACTGACATAAAAACTGATGTACACACCGTACGGGGCCTTATCGGAAGCATAAAATATTAATATAACATAATTACAAGCATACTCCATTGAGCTACTCCTAATATGCCAGGATCTCATGCATTACATACACCATCAAAAGCGGATAAAGTTTAAAACTATATCCTTGAATATCGTGTACAAACACATACATTTACAGTCCTAGCCCGATAATTGGGCATAACAAAAGGAATATGAGAGTTAAGTACAACGTCCATAGGCGGCTCTCAAAAAGTAGACCCGTATCTTAGCAGCTTCCCAAATATAAATGGCCTGGTGTAGTGCCTGGACGTGTAAAGGTTGACAAAAGGGACAGCGTCGAAGTTAGGACTGACCCCCTGACTGGTAACCTACAGAAACAGACATAATGGAGAGTGAGCCGGGCTCAATGAGCAGTAATACATAATGAAAGACGTCCGACTTGAAGCTTAAATACATCAATACATAAAAAGATGCAGCATGCACATGATTTGTCTGATTCTGCGTTTAGCTCATAATGGCCCTAGGCCTATTCCTGTGACATAAGCATGTGGCTATAAGCCCTTGAAACATGATGGCACGAAGCCCTTGAACATATGGCACGAGGCCCTTGTATTACACTTGAAACTTGTGGCGCGAGGCCCTTGAAAATGCACTTGAAACTTGTGGGACATGGCCCTTGAAAATGCACTTGAAACTTGTGGCACATGGCCCTTGAAAATGCACTTGAAACTTGTGGCACTTGGCCCTTGTAAATGCACTTGAAACTTGTGAATGCTTTTCTTTACATGCTTTAACACCAACATATCTTAAACATGCATAAGTACATTACATACTTGAGACATCAACATAATTGCCTTACATGCCTTGAAACATTGACATGATTACATAACATTACATAGGTACTACTACTCACAGTGTTGAGGTGGCGTGTTGCTTCCTTCTGGAATGTGCCCTGCACACAATTAATACATTAGTTTCTTTTTTATCATCCTCGGCGGGCTCATCAGCATTCCCTTCGCCATGTCCACCAGCAAATTCGGCATGTCAAAAATCTCCTCATCGTCCATAAAAAAAGCTTGCCCGGAATCCGTACGAGTTTGACACGTGTTCTCAACCGGCCCGCTCTGCTTCGGTAGTCTGGCTGCTGCTGCAGCCGCCGCCGCCGCCGCCGCACGCACATCACTCGCCGACGAAGAAGCCGCCACCGGATACGAAAGAAGTGATTCCGGGAAGTTGAGGGCAGCGTCCGGGCCTTTCAGCGCTAGCGCCGCCGCATCGTAAGCGGCAGCAGCCATTTCCGGAGTCGGATAGGTGCCGAGCCATACGCGCGTCGTCTTACGTGGCTCGCGTATTTCAGATACCCATTTTCCGCTCCGGCACCGAATTCCTCGAAAATTGTGATGCTTGCCGGAGGTTGCGCCGCCTATGGACGGCGAGGGAATGGGTGTTGTGCGGGGTAGAGGGGGTTTTGGTGATGGGTGTTGTTGACAAGTGGTGGTTGTTGCTAAAGGAGAATTGTTAGGGTGTTGGAGCTGTGGGAGTAGAGTCAATGATGAATCGGGTCGTTGGTCAATTTGGCCCACGTTAGCACTATTAGCCATGCATTTAAAAGGAAAAAACATCGGTTGGGTCGGGTATTTGATCTTCTGAAAAGAAGTTTAATGTTGGGCTTTTAAGGGGATTCAAAAGCCTATGGCCGAAGCGTGGGCAATTCGCAGTGGGTCCTAGTATTAAAAGCCATGTGCTTTTTATATATTTATTTATTTATTTGTCAGGGAAAAGGACATTTATTTTTCAGATTTTGAATTAGAAAATATTGTTTTCGATTCATGAAATTTATTATGAATCTCGTTTCGATCAATTTAAATTATTTTTTGTTAGATAATTTATGTATTTTATTCATAATTTTTTTTTTATAATAAACATAATAAATTAACTAAATTATAATTATCAAATTGATATAATTTTTTAATAAATAAAATATATAAAACACTTAATAAGAGAAATGATTTGAATAATGAAAACAAAACTTATGATAAACTTATAATTCTAAATATCGCCCTCAATTTAAAATTTGGATGACAGAAAATCTTTGTTTATTTTTTTTATATATAAATATGTGTAAGAAGCGATTGGGACTGATGGCGAAGGCGTTTGGGGGAGTGGGCACACGTTTTAAGGAGCAAGCTACTAATTAGCTGTTGTCCATCCACTTTGACGAGTTTGATGGCCTTTCGTAGTATTTCTTATAACCTCTCCAATAGAGTTGTTAAAGGTTTTGTCAAATTTATAATTTGACAAGTGTAATAAAAAATAAAAATAATAAAATAATAATTAATGGCTTGTTATTCTATTTGTCAAAAATAATAGATGTCATTTTTGTTATTAAGGTCAAGTTTGAGAATCTATTAAAAAATTTTAAAAGTCAAAAAATTATTCAAAATGTTAAAAAGTTATCACTATTTATCAAAAATTAAAAATTACGACTGCACAACTCTTAATTCTAATTTTTCCTTCTGTTTGAACCTTTTCTTGGAACTGTTTGAACCTTTTGGTGGTCGACCGATTGGTCAACCGGCCGGGCAACTGGCTAGTTCAACCGGCTGGTTCCCCCAACGGTCACAAACAGTGTTTTGATGAAATCAGTATTCTGTCCTCAGTTTGATGAATTGTTTGGTGAAATCTCATTTTGATATTGATTTGGTGCAACCGTTGGAACACCAAACAGTAACTTTTTCACCAAATTTTAAATTTGATGTCAACTTTGATGAGCCGTTGGAGATTGTCTAACCTCTCCAATAGAGTTGTTAAAGGTGCTGTCAAATTTATAATTTGACAAGAGTAATAAAAAATAAAAATAATAAAATAATAATTAATGACTTGTTATTCTTTTTGTCAAAAATAATATATGTCATTTTTGTTATTAAGGCAAAGTTTGAGAACCCATGAAAAATCTAAAAAGTCAAAAAGTTATTTAAAAAGTTAAAAAGTTATCACTATTCACCAAAAGTCAAAAATTACGGCTGCATAATTTTCAATTCTAATTTTTTCCTACACACTAATTTATACAATTTTTTAATACAGATTTTTTCATAAAAAATCAAAAAGTTAACCCAAACATTCATATTTTTTTCCTCAATTTTTTAGTCTAAAAAGACAAAAAGTGCGCTTATTTAGGACATCCCAAACAACCCCTAAATTTGGCGAGTTAAATAGTAAGTGCCAAACATGTCACATTATCAAATATCAACATATTTTTTACTCTAAATTGAATTGAAAAAATAGAATTTATTCATTAAGAAAAAAACCTCCCAAATTCGATTTCATTCATTAGTTCCACAAATCTCATAAACAAAAAGAATCGCAAATTCGATTTCATACTGATCATTCAATTTCAGAAACAAAATTGGATTTAAGTTCCACAAACATAATTTGATTTCATAAATTATCATTCAAGAACAAGTTCTATAAATTTCACAAATTCACAAATAGCATAATCCATTTAGAACAAATCACAAATTTCAGAATCAATTTAGAACAAATCAAATCTAAATTTTAGTCAAGAACAAATCAATCCAAATTTCACAAATTTATACAAATTTCAAAACAAATTTAGAAGATAAATACATGGATTCTAGCATGATTGATGAACTTGTTCTTCATCTCAACCTGTATCGACCTCTAGGGTTTCTTCTTCATCGACTTGCACGGCTCGTTCCCAAACCAATCGAGCTTCATTGAAGGCCGAACAGTGGTGTTCAGTCAAACACTAGAGTTCCATTGAACTCGGAGATCAGTGATCTATGATTGACAATCAACGTGGGTGGTGGTGATGCAAAATACACACACACACAGAAGAGAGAGAGAGAGAGAGAGAGAGAGAGAAGGCTAGTTTTGGCGATCATGTCTGGTGGTGGTGATAATCAAAATGAAGATGGAGAGAAATGGGTTTTTGATGAAGAACGTGAGAAAGTGGAGTCGTGGCTGCTGTTGGTAAATATGAAACACCAAAGAGAGAGACATAGAGATCCTCTCATCCCACCCGACTGGTTTGATGAGAGCATGAGAGAAAGGGCTTTTCTCTTGAGATAAGCGCAGATCATTCTAGAGCTCTCATCTTAGCCGTTGGATTGTTATTTAATCAAATGCTGAGATCTTGTACATTAATCAACGGCTGAGATCGCCCACAATTGTGATATTTTGTTCATTAAAAAAAATTTAAAAAATATTAAAAAAATTGTCACAAAACAAAAGCACAACGCCTATAAATAAACAACTATATTTTTTAAAATTCTCAATGGCCATATTTAGAAGAAGAAAAAAAACGATCATATTTTGTAATTCTATAAATACAAACCCTAAATCTTAATTTGATTTCATAGCAAGCTTCATAAATTATATTTTTCTTTTTCTCCTCTATTTTTCTCAATTTCATTCACAACAAACCTCCCAAATTACATTTTTATTTATAGTTTTTTCATATAATCATTATAGAATGTTCATCAAAAACAAAGAGAAGAAAATTATTCACCATTGACAAAGATGTGGCACTTTGTAAGGCTTGGTGTCACATTTCTAGAGACCTAATTGTTGGCAATTTGTAATCGTATGCTCAGTTTTGGGAGAGAATTTATAAAAATTATAGCTTACTTTAGAATGATCAGTCAAGAATACAAGTGTCTATCCAATCTCGATGGATATAATCATGAAATGCTCCAACAAATTTTGTGAATGGTTAGCGCAAGTCGAAAATCTAGACCCAAGTGAGATATCTCAAGTTGATATAGTAAGATTTTATCTTCATTCATTATGTTAATTTTTTTATTTCGTGTCGTATAAAAGTTAACTAATTAATTTATTTAATATTTTATCCACATAGATGCTTTAATATTTAATTGCATTTCTTTTGAAGACAATAACAGTTCAAGTGTTGGTAACAATCCAACTGTTAGTAATAATCTAATTGGTGAGGGTAGTGTCTCTATAAGGGGTAAAATGCCTATGGGTAGGAAATCTACAAAAGAATTGCTTTGAAAAAGTCAAATTGTTAAAGCTAAAGTCTGCAAATTTAATAATTTGTTGGAGACATGTCACGACCCAAACCTGTCCCTAAAAGTTTAGGACATCACCGGCCTATACTTAGGCCTCAAAAAAAATTTCCAAAAAAAAATTTATTAATTAATGGGGCCCAAAATGGAAGCAATTTCGTAAAAGAATGTCCATTGATTGCAGATATGCCAAGATTATAACACATCCAAGTGCAAACGGAGGAGCCTACACGTATAGTTCACATAACTACAATCCAATTCATGGTTAGATACAAAGAGTTCATAACCCAGAAATTACATGATCATAAGGCGTTGAACAAAAGCCACCAAGAACATGACAAAAAGAAAGTGGCAATAAAGGTGAAAGACTCCAACTTGGGTTTAACAAAATAAGTCCTCAAAGGGCGCCAGAAGCTGACTTAGGGCTAACCTCCAAGCTACAAAACATACATGAATACGGAATGAGCCAAGCTCAGTGAATAATAATAATGTAAGAAAGCATATAAACGAGTATGTGTCTTACAAAATATGTACGTAATACATGTACGTCCTTTTTATCAATACATTCCAAAATGGCCTTGGGACCAACATAATAACAGAAAGGCCTCGGGCCCAATAATAACAGAACGACCTTGGGCCGAATAATAGCAGGATGGCCTCGGGCCCAATAATAACAGAACAGTCTCGGATCCAATAGTAACAGAACAGCCTTGGGCCCAATAATAAAAGAACAGTCTCGGGCCTAATAATAATAGAACGGCCTCGGGCCCAATTCACATGTCATTGTGATCAAGTAATCAATCAGTTTAACCAAAGGCACAAGTTGTACAAACCATATCATTCATGAACAAAAATATAATATTCGTAACTTCCGACGTGTCATTACACTATTATTACTCACAGTGTTCCAATCGCGTAGTGGTCCCTTCCGATGAGTGACCTACACATCAAACACAAACCAATAAGCGATTCATTCTTTTCTTAGTTTCTTGCTTTTCATCATTCTCCCATTTCGTTCACTTATTAATCAGTTTTAAGCCTTTCGGAGGGATTAAATATACACATTAATTGATTCAGAGGGTCAAAAAGGGTAGCAGAAAATAACAGAATTCTTCCTCATTTCCCGCATGTGCGGAGGCCCCTCACCGCACGTGCAGAGGGGTGTGCCACACATGCGGCCTGCAGGTGCTTTTATTTCAGAATGTGAACCTTGCCTCCCCTGTTTTCCGCACGTGCGGCTGTAAGCCCCACATGTGCAGTCCTAGACTCTACTACAGTTCGAAAATTCAACAAATTTCAAACTTTCTAAAGATAGTTTCAAGGCTCTATTTCAAGCAATTTCATTCCCAAAACCATAACATGTGACCATAATAAACATAAATACAACTCACTTAGATCATAGCTCACCTTAATTGCACACATACAACTAAAATTTCTATATCTTTTTCATTTCTTCCCTTTTCATGGTGTATTCGAACATATATATACATATATGAGTTCAAAACAAGCAAAGACCAAAGATTTGAAGGTCATTTTCTCAATCTAACTCAAGACCAACTCAAAATGCAAGAATTAACTCTTAAATCAAACCATTGTAAGGACTCCT